CTTGAGAGCTCTCATTCTAAGTGTGTGCGTGTGAGTGCGCGCAGTTCTTTGTGGTTTTGATCTATTATTGCGTTGACACGATGGACAAAACTTTTTTGAGCTTTCAAGTTGCCAGGCCCTGGCGCGTGCACCAACAGTAACCCTCCCATCAAGCCGCCTTGGCAGGCAGATATGGAATTTAGGTCCAAGGATGAAGGTCCAGGAAGGTCTTTTCAGTGTGCTGGCAATCGACAATCGAGTCAGGCTACTGATTGCACTTGCGACGCTGAGACAATCACCATGGCGCAGGTGCAATTAGATTGGCTGTAACAGAAAGTACAGACCTTCCTGCAACGCATCCTTTTGGCGAACGTTGCAAAAAATTGTCGACGGCATTGCTGCCTCACCTCGCAAAGGCCACATCCTTCCGGACGTTGTGCGGCTCAATGGCAGCAGGAACGACGGGAAAAGTATGGAGACATGAAGCATATGGCAAGCCTCAATATTTATTAAATTCGATCGCCAGCCGATGGGCGCCCAGAGCCTGCAGGGGGAGAGCGAAAAAAAGATGCGTCGCAAAAATAGTGAAAATGTGTGGTTTTTGGAGTGTGGTGCGAGTGATGTGATTGACGCCTAGTGCATCATGAGTTGCTCAAATGGCTGGGGAGAAGGGGACAACGTGTCAGCGGGAGCAGCGCGAAAATGAGACGTGCCTCTCACCTCTCAGGACTCTCTGTTTTCTTGTGGCTAATACGAGTGGAACGCAAGAAACGATGTCACCCGTAGAGGAGTGAAGAGGGCTGTCAACTGGATGAAAAAGGGCACCGCTCAGAGCTATCCAAGGTAGTTGGGCTTTGGACAAGGGATGTTCATGTTGAGGACAGATAACGTGACAGGAAAAGCTGTCGCGAGCTCACCAGGAAAGTGAGATGTGCGTTTCTCAGCCCTCTGTCTTCCTGCTTTTAAGAGTGGAAAGGAGCGCCAGAAACGATGCCACCTCGACAGGGAATAATTGTGAAAGACTGGACTTCAACACCCGGACAAAACCTAACAAATAATATGGGCAGGCGAAGCATGAGCGCATGTTGTTCTTTCGAAGTGTTTTTTGTGACCGAAAGTCCCGACTGACGTGGAACAATGCGCTGTTCGACTGCTGTCACAAGCATGAGGCAGAGAGGCGCAAAGTCTCGCATTGAGGGTAAATATATGATAGGCCCGATAGGCTCTATTTACACTAGATGAAGGCCAGATCCTATAATGCCAACTCTGGATATTTAAACCACCCCCCCCTCCACCTCCCCTGAATAATCTGCTCAGGGAGTGGTGGTAGTGGTAGTGGTAGTGGTAGGAGTAGGAGTTGTCGCAGCAGCTACTAGCAGTAGCAGCAGCTACTAGCAGTAGCAGTAGCAGTAGCAGCAGCAGCAGCAGCAGGAGTAGGAGTTGGAGTAGGAGTAGTAGTAGTAGTAGTAGTACGCAAATTGGGGGGAACCAACCACCAATACTACTTTTAATTTGTGCCATTTTCGGCGGATTGATGGGAGGTTTATTAATCGTGACTTTGCGCCATACGTAACGCCTGGATCAACTCTACGAAAGGCGGGCGCTCTTGGACATGTATAGCTCAGTGGTGAGGATTACGCCCACAAATATTCTCCTGAGTTCTCTGGACGCAGAATGAGATTCTAGCAAGCGCAGGGTCTCTACGCTTCTGACGGTAACTGGATAGACGCACCTGGTTAGCCTGGTCAACTCCCTGCGCGATCGTTCCTGCACTTCGTCCTTTTAGCGGCGTGTTCAAGCTGAAAAAGGGCACCCCTAAACAGAAAGTGGTTTGGCTTCACCCCGTGACCGCATTGATGTCTTCTTATGGAGGCTGGCTTTCGCCTCCTCCCTTCAGATGCCTATAGTGCTTAGGGCAGGCTTGGTGTAGGCGGCTATTCATTCAGCACATGGTCTTTGCACAAATCTCATGGTGACGTTTTGGCTCAAGGCTAGCTTTAGCCAAAATAGCTTTGTGGAGTGAAACTCTAAGAGGGAACCTCTCTGCTCAGCTTTTGTCTTGTGGTCATGGATGACCTTTCGGTGGTGCAGGTTTGGCGTGAGATCAATGGAGTCACAGATGATGGTGATTTTGCATTTTTCTTCAGTGCACTTGAGGAGGCTAAGCAAGAGGTGGGCGACCTCATTGCCTTTGCCTGGCAACAAGCTCGGCAGCAAGCCGAAGGGGGAGTGGACAAGGTTGTCCAAGCCATGTTGGCTCGGGAGGCAAACCCTACCCATAGGCCGGTTCCTACTTAATCTACATCAAGTAACTTAGCGCTACTTAACCTACTTAGAACCTACTTATGTTGAACTAAAATTCAATACTAAAATGAATGATTTTTAAGTAGGTTACAAGTAACTTATAAGTAGAAATAAGTAGAACTAAGTAGAAATAAGTAGAACTGGTTTGACATGTTTGTTTCTCAAGTTTTTATGAGAACTACATGTAAAAGTATGATTTTATCACTTTTTTAGAAGAAAAAATGAAAAATTGAGCCAAACAAACTATAGCGGACACACCGCTGCATAGCGGACACACCGCTGAATCCACTAGAATGTGTTTCATGTGCATATGAACCAAAAGCTTGCGCTCAAGTGATACCATCTGTTTTGCTGATACCATCTGATACGCCTCTGGTTGGGACTCAATCCATCGCCAATGCTTCAAACACTTCCGTCAAAGCACTCTCCACTTCTGGGACGAGTTGGGGCACCATGTCGCTCCAGGTGGGAAGCCAGGATTCCAACATCTTCAGCTCTTTGTGCAAATAGAACCGCTGGTAGTAGTTCAACTTTTTCGGAACTTCGAAGCCCATCACCTGGCTTTTCACTCCCATCGACTCCACCGTAATGTCATGGCCAGCGAGACCATTGAGCTGACACTGCGCAGCGATCGAGCACCACAGGAGTCCAATGCAAGCTGTATGGGGTCCAAGCCCAACATGGGTGCATAATTTTCTGCAACATTCTCGTGACATCTCCAGCTCATCCAATCTGGACTCATCAGTCAAAGTAGCAACATGGGCAGCAATTTGCCCAGCAAAAAGGAGCAGCGCTTCCATGGTGCGTGAGCGCAGCAACCAAGTTGAATCCTGTTGATGCACAAAATCTTGCGAGATCAGGACTACCATATACAGGTTTGCGGTCATTTTCAGCGGACACACCGCTTTATTCTTGGGAAGCGGGAACTCCGCTTGTTTTGTGAGCAGAACAATGACAAAAACCAAACAATACATGCGCTGGATCACATCTTCGCTCTCCGGTTCCTTTTGGTCACCGCAAACACATGACATGTCTTTGGTCTTCGGAATGCTTCCACCACGATGGGACTGCTGGAGGTGCTTGAGGTTTCACTTCCAGTATAATCTCCTCATTGTCGTCAGACAATTTCCAAATGGTTCCCCAGGTGGTGTCTCGTACCTTGTCGGGAGGAGGGTGAGTCTCAGTGAGCAAACCCATTTTATATAGATGATATACATATATATACACAAACATACATCATATAGATATAGTGACATTGAAATTGCGAGATATGTACTTTCAATACACCGCAAAATCAAAGGCATCAAGGCACGAAGTCGAGTTTCAAGCAACGCAGGTAGAAACCAGACGCGGGATCATGGAACCACGATTTCACAACACCAGCCGTGTATTGGCAAAGGACAATGTCCGTCTTTGAGACCACGCCGCTGGTCAAGTAGCAGCCTTGAGTACCACCGAAACGAATAAGCGGGGACACCGCTGCAAGATATATGGTATACATGCGTATAGGAGCGGGTACACCGCTTTTTATTGTCTAACCTAAGGGAGATCAACATAAAGTGCAACTAAAATTTGAAGGAAAATGTCCGACGAGGGGCTTTCACTGGTTGTCAAGTTCAAGGTTACAAAGGCCAGTTTGTCGTCCAGACTAGCGTCGTGGATGGGCAGCATCAGTTGCCAAAACGGTAGTCCCTTGTCTTGCAAGAGCTTGAAATTCTTTTGAAGGAGCCGCTGAAGAACAGAAGAACTAAACCGGGCAAAGTCTTTGCAGGTGCTTCTCTGATTCTGCGCAACACCCGATTTGTATTGCTTGCGCTTGCTCTCCAAGCACTCACAACTCAAAAAGAAACCTGTTTTGAGATATTGCTCCGGTAAGTGAAATCTTATGTGATGCTTGGGCTTGATGCTGTCTGGGTATGCTTGGACGAATGCCTGTTGATGCTGGCGCTGAAGCTCATCCAAGTGTTTTGCTTCCCGTTCGGAAATCTTTTCCATACGATTGCTCAGATAACGAATAAAGGCAACACAGTTGGCAAGACGGATGAGTGACGAGACCACCTCTGTTGGAAGTTGATTGCTTGGCTGAATTACTTCCTCCAGATAGTATGGCAACAAAGGTACAATGGCAGCTGTTTGATGCGCTTGACCCTTGTACAGACTGTCCCCAAACAAGCGCTCGTGCCACAAAGCTGGCAGGTAGCTAGGCCGGTTTTTGCCGGATTCTGCAGTGCCACGCCATCCAGCCTCCTTGGCGGTGATCGCCAACACTTCTCTGGTGATATCCGTGCCAGTGCAAATTTTCTCCATGAGCAACCCTACCTCCCACGATGCGACTCCATTGCACAGGTAGCAATGCATAAAGTCGAAGAGGATGTGGGACGGTGGCATGTGGACCCTCGAATGTGGCTGGAACAGCAGAGAGCGTGAGTCGTATGAGATTCCTAACACCTTCTCTTCCTGAGCAAGTTCCGCTTTTGTTCGACAACGACCCAGACGGTCACACATCTGGAAAATTTCAATATCCGTACTTCTATCGAAGCCGGTCCACGCACTGATCTCTACGAAGTACGAATTATGTTCCACAAGTTGGCTGTTGGATTTCAACACATTCTTGCATAAGATGCATGGCCGTAAGCCTGCGCTGCCTTTGACTGAAAAACCAGCTCTGACAGCGTCCAAGTCACCAAGAAAGAATGCTTTCTGCCGATGACGTAACATCAAGTCAGGGTGGGCCAGAAACCAGCTGTGAATTCTGCATTGGTAATTTGTTCCACCATGTGACAAAGGAGTCTTGAAACACCATCCTGCAAAGTGTTGATGCATTGGCTTTGGACGCAGGCGAAAGGTATCCAAAGGACCTCATGCTTCAGAAGGTGCCAGGTCTCAAGATAGCCCAGGTAGAACAGGCAACTTTTGCGAGATTTGTCAGCAGATAGAACATTACCGGCTGTACACTCATCACAGTACAACACTGGCGTCAGGTATCCAGTCCCTTGCGCTGCTTTCATCAACGCTTCCCTGTACGGCAGAGAGTCCAAACACAGCTTCTCCAAATACTTGCGTAGATTGACCATATGGATTTCCTGCTGGGTATCATCATGAGTATCAAACTTGATAGGGTCAGTCACTTGCTTCCAGGGTCCAAGCTCTTCCTCTACCACATCTGTGAAGCAACCTCTTGAAATGCGCTCGTCTTCATCGTGGAAAACATTCCACAACTCATGTACTGCTCTTTCTGAGGCACCGGGAACTGTCAGGCCGCGCGCCAATTTTCTTCGGGTATCTTGCTGCAAAACGCGCTTTGGCATTGCACGTGTAAAGTCAGAAACATTACATCTTGAAGAATTGAGGATTTGACACATATGTTTCCTGCCCAGGTATAGGTGACTGGCTACAGTTCTGCCACAATAATTTTTACATGCTGTTTGACTGACGCTATGCCGCTGAAGAACATGTTCCAAAGTCAGACGATGTATAGATCTGGGTGGGCAGCGAGAAAGCAGCAAAGACATAATATGTTTAACTTAAAACTCAAATGGTGAGGATAAACAAGGGTAGCTCCAGCGGACACACCGCTTCAATAGCAGGAAGTATATCAAAACGCAAGTGTACTTTTTATGTATCCATATTTTAGATCTACAATTATCTCTAAATATGTCACATGTACGTTGCAACAAAGCGGACACACCGCTGCAAGTGAGTTAAACAATTTCAATGTGGCACTTTTGAACTTCTGCTGGCAGATGCGTCTAAGTAACGCACCAACATCGATCTGACTTGCAGATTAGGATGGCAGACCGGAATGTCTGACACACAGAAACTAAAGGTTGGATTCATCTGACGCCTGCACCCTTGCCCATGATCTTGGGCGCAGCCTTGGACTTGGGAGCCCTTTTTGGGTTTGTCACCTTTCTTGGCGAGAAGATCTTGGCTAAAGGCCCAACGAGCATCCTTCATGGCAGCATGCGCAGCCTTGATGGTCTCCATCATCTCCGAAACCTGATCAGTTGACAGATCAATTTATTATGGATGGGACTCCCCCGCCAAAAAAGACAACACGCTTTCCAACAAGAAAGCCTCTGGCAGTTCCGCAGGGTCTGAAGAAGCACGGGTCTCATCAGTGGCACTGATCAAGGCGGTTGCGCCTCAGTCAAAAACATAAAGGATGCCAATCACAGGTCATACGGCAATATAGTGAATTCTAATTTTTGGTAGTGCAAAAAACATGTCGAGCGGACACACCGCTGTACACAGCCTAGATGCTTGTGTTCAACGTCCGGATCTTGGTGTTGGCTTCTTGCAGTCCACTGACCATTTGGTCATCAAGGACGCCCTGCCGCTTCTCAACCTTGATCAGCAAAGACGCCAAGGAATTGGAGGTGCTGTTGAAAGATGCCATGATCTTGGATGCCTTGCTGACCTCCTTCTTCCAAGAAGTCGCTCGCAAGTTCGCAGCCTTTCTGGCAGCTGCGGCTGCTTCCTTCTCAGCAGAACTTGTCTTGGGAATCTTGTTTGGGCCAGGCTTTCCACTCACAGCGACCTCATCTTCAGAGGGAATGGACCAGACGTCATCCCCATCCTCCACAGTGACAACCTCAGGTCGCTGAGCCGTTGCTGAGGAAGGCTTGGTGCGCTTCCTGCCCTTCTGGTTCTTCAGCTTCAATTCCTTCTCCATCAACTCTTTCTCGATGGTGCCCACTATGTCTTCCACCTTGATGGAAGTCAAAGGAGCAGTCCAAACCTTGCCAAAGACCTGAGACCAAGTCGTTGTTTTTTGAATATATGAAGACACAAAACTTAAAGATCAATTGCAATTGCCATACTGAGGCGGACACACCGCTCTAGAATATAGTTATTTACAAAATCAAACTATTTACCAAAGTAGCGATCACACGGTCACACCGCTCTGAACGCTAAACAACCGGGAAGCCAGACCTCAAAGCCGAGTCACATCGTCATCTCTGCTCTCCCCACGCTCTTCGATATCTTTGACATCGTAACCCTTTTGCTTCCACACCGAAAGTGGACGATACTTCTTTTCCACCGTGTTGTGGACCTGCTCCGTCTTAAAGGAGGCCACAGAGGTCACGATGCTCTTTCGAACCAGTGCCCACCTGCCGTTCTTGGGCGTCGCCAGCATCAAATCACCAGTGGACTTGAAGAACTCGGCTTGCTGCTTCGGCTGCAAGTGGTTCAGCGTCTCAGGGATGCCGCCAACATGGCGATAGAGGATCTGGTAAAGGTTCCAGCAGGCCTTGCATTGCAACTGCTCGCCTTCATCCAGAGAAGTGGGCCTCCTGCATTTCAAGCGTGGGATCTTGGCTACCTCTTGCGGCTGAGTCTCAGGAAAGGTAGCCATTGCTTTAACCGAAAGTTTGACTTTCGTGTGGAATGCGTCCCTAAGTGAGCCCCTGTGCTATGAACATCAGCTTGTTTCAAAGCATTCAACAACATGCCAAGCCACGCGATCAGCACAGTGTTGCACGTATAAACACCTACCACAAATGTTTTTTGGTACTCCGACAGCTTGCGAGAAGCTAGTCATAATCTATAAATTTACTATAGATGTTTCATAGATATTCCGTAGATAACCCATAGATACCCCATAGATACCCCATAGATACCCCGTAGGTAAACCATAGATAAACCATGACAAGTATAGATGCCCCATAGATACCCCATAGATACCCCAATCAAATTCTATATCTTGGGATAGATACCCCGTAGATACCCCATAGATACCACATAGATACCCCATAGATACCCCAACCATCAGCCATAGATACAAGGTCTCTCACCTAAATATTTTTTACCATAAACATAGACGTTTTTTTATGTGTATATATATATAAGTACCAAAAGTGAGATCAGATTCTACAGCGGACATACCGCTCATGCAGTCCAAGAAAAGAAGCGGTCACACCGCTGCTGTCCACTCTTTTTCTGCTTTTCCAAGACTGATTTCACACCTCACCTTTTGGAGGGACGCTTCAGAACATCCGACGCCGTGCACTTCACACCTCTCTTTGGCTGCGCTTCACGATCTGGCAAATCGGGTGGAGCAAGCAAGCCACCTTTGACCATGCGATCGTGTTGCTTCTTGTCCACTGTCTCGATGAGCGTCCTGTACTTCTCGGGAGATGCCGTGAACTCTTCGAGGCTCACCTTGCGCAGGTTGTAGTCCAACTTAATGTTCTTGAATTGCAGAGAAATGCACATGGATCCCGAGATGATGCCCTTGTCCTGGGCTTCCTTGACGACAGTGGCAACCACCTGTTCTCAAAATGTTTCTCCATCTATACTTAATATAAACATCGACGATATAGCGGAGACACCGCTTCCAAAGGAAGAGAGCACTCACAAAGATATATATATATATATACTCCATTCTACATGTGTACCTAAGAATAATTCAACAAGCCAAGCGGAGACACCGCTGGTCAAGCCTAAGACCACCAGACCAACCATTGGTCCGATTCTCGCCTCTTCAATTGTGTTCCTGCCAAACCATTTGCCGGGCACCTGAGCCACAAGCTGCCCAGTCATCGGAGAGCTCACCAAAATTTTACGGTCTTCCTGAACCCAGTCCATGTCCAAGAGCTTGAGGCCAGCTGGCTCTTCGCGTGGTCTGTTGTTGCGACGACACCAACTCCTGCTAGTAAAAAGAGTAACCAACACAAAAGGTGTTTTCTTAATGTTTACAGATTCCAGGTTACATGTTCCAAGTTGGAACGCTGTCCATGTTGGGATATGCCGCAAATGATTGAACTTGTGAGTTGCATTGTTCCCACATCCAAGGTAGATCACCCCATCGCTTCTCACCAGGCGACCTTCTTGAACAACAGGGACTCTGGTCCACTCCGTTGAGAACGCCCACTGCTTCCACTTCTCTAAAGTGTCCAGCGTCTCAAACTCACTCCAATGAATGCGGGACATTTCAAAAAGCGCCATGGGAGGTATGACACCACGAACCACACTTGAGGTGCAACAAACCTCACGCCATGCAATTGGATTGTATCGTGCACATGCGCACGCAGAGGTCATACCGCTACAGACCAACTATACGTCATTTTGATTTTCAGCGGACACACCGCTTCAGCAACCTTACCTCTATATAAGTCTATCACACAACCGCAAATACGACTGCAGTGTTTCATTCTGGATCGGCCTGCAACTGGGTTGGAAAGTGTTAGCACTTACAGAATCAAATTATCACAACTTTTTCAAAGTTGTCACCAGCTGGAATGTCTTCCAGTAAAAGCACTGCATCTTACATCCCTTACTAACCAAAGGCTTCGAGCACGGCCTTCTGCGCGGCCTGAGCACACTTCGCCTTGATCTTGGCCTCGCTCATCTTTCCAGTCTTTCGCAAGCGACCTGAGCATATCGATGGAGAACCAAATGTCAGCATCGACTTTAAACATCTCACTACTATGCGTTATCTATGTTCGTCTATACACATTTTCAGGTTCTGCAATGCTATAGAGTTCTTGAGGAAGGGCGCAAACCGATTGTAAGTTTTGACGGGATACACTTTGTCGGATGGTAGGCACGGCTATAGACACACCCCCTTGTCATCTTCAAAGCAGAAGAAGTTCCTTTCTTGGACTTGCCCTTCTTCTCCTTCAGCACATTCTCCTTCTTCACGGATTGCTTGCTAGATTTCTGACCAGGTTTCTGACCAGGCTTCAGGAATTTCTGACCAGGTTTTTCTCAGCAGCCACGGCTTTGGCTTTGGTAGTCTTGGCAGCCCAGGTCGAAGCCTTTGTGGCAGGTTTGGGAGCCGCTTTAGCTTTTGCTTTGCCTTTTGCTTTCGGCTTGGCTCCAGGCCCTTCACTCTTCAGGCCATCGAGTTGACATAAAGCCTCCTTCAATCTTGAACACGATTGGTCCAAAGGTAACGGTGTCACCACCTTCTCCTGGGCCTCGTCATTCTCAAGCAATGGATCCTCAGGCACCATAGGCTCACGGGATCCCATTTTTTCCGGTTGATCACCAGCTTCACTTCGAACGTTCTCACGCCCATCAGCTGCCTCCTGGCGGTTTCAATCGAACAAAATTCGATCTCCGTATACTCACCCCTATACATACATATATACATATATAAAGAGGTATACAAAACCAAACACTATAAAATATATGTTCGCAAACCTGCAGTGTCACGAAGCGGACACACCGCTCTCACAAAAAGAAAGGTTCCACTTGAGCAGACATCAGAGATTGAAAGTCTCAATCAACAGGCGCTCCCTGTAACCATTTCCACATGTCCTGCGGCTGTTGTCGACTTGGATCATCCATGATGGCCAATGGAGGGAAAGCCTGCGCAGAAGTAGAAGGTGTGCTCGAAGAAGACACCACACTGGAACCCTGGCCCATCTTAAAAGCGAACTCCATCAGCTGCATGTGTTCGGCCATGCTACTGCTGGGCACAGTGTGCGGCGCAGCCTGCTGAAGTTGATCTTTGGGCCACCGCATTCGGGTAGCGCCAACCGCCAGGAGCAAAGTGTCCATGGGTACACCTTACCGCCGCAATCAAAATTCATTCGTGCAATGCGATCATATATAGTAAATATATTATCGCAATACTCATACCATGTCCTATGACATCTGTAGACCACCCCAAAAAAGCGGACATATAATCTCTGCAGGCGTGATCCTGAGGGAAAGATGTTGCTTTTCACAAAAGCCAGACAATGTTAACATATACATTTATATATTCGCACGTGGCAGATAAACATGAGCCATGACACGAGGTGGTACAGGCGTGTCTCGACTGAAGGCCACCAAGTATATAGTACTCTGCCGGCAGATCTTGCACTGACGATGGCAAAGTCTCAACGTACTCGTGGTACTTAAAATCATCATGTCGTCTGACAGTCTTATACTTCTTCCAAGTTCTTTTCAAAGCTTGCAAAGCTTCGTACTTCTGGAAAGACGTCTTTTCTCGGCCATCATTGGGACATGTGAGCTGGAGCAAGTTGAAGACAACTGCATATAGGTGCTTTCAGTTGGACAACGAAGTCCTAGCTCCCAGAGGTGACACAACAGCTGCGCCTCAGTTTTCTCTTTTGTTTGTTTTGAGAAACTGGACCATTGCTCATCCGTTAAGTAGTGCGGCAAAGAACAGTAGTTTTGGGCCTTCCGCCTGTCAGCCATTGGAACCCTATATGCCCCTGTGAAAGCCAAAAATCTACAAATGGCAATTTGTTGTCCATACTATGTTGTTAAACATGTATTAAGCAATGCTCTTCACAAAGGGAAAGTATCAAAACATTCGCACGTTTTCAAAGCGGTCACACCGCTACAAGCTCCAAATAACTCAGCGGACACACCGCTTTCACAGCACAACCCTTACTCCAATCCGGTCTACTTTTGGGCTCCTTCACCGTCGACGCGCGAATTCAGCTTGTCGCCGGCCGCCCCTTCTCCTCCAAATACCAAAATGCCGAAATTGGCGCTGTCGGCTCGACTCACCAGGACGGAAGTCGTATGTTCCAGTGGCCGCATCACTTCCTGTCATTGATCAACCGACAAGAAGCCAATGCCATCCAAGGAATGGAAATATGTCTACTACTCCAGACCAGCAGAAAACCTTCTCTGGAATAAATACTTATGCTTTTGTGGCTACCCTGTCTATTATGATTTCTTCAGACGCTTTCTTATATTCCCAAAAGAGAACACAATGCCACCAAGGTACTATGTTTAGGAGGCACTGGGGACGGCGCTCCCATCTGTTTTGCTCTAGCCGCTGATGTAGTCACAGTGGGAGGCATCTTCGGACCTTTGGCAGCTGGACATGGCTGATGCGGCCTTGTCTTGGGCCGGACTGGCCCCATCTTTGAAGTTGGCATTCTCTTTCGGAGTCGTCGGAGTCTTCGGAGTTGCTGGAAGCAATGTCGAAGTCTTCGAAGTTGGTGGAAGCAATGTCGAAGTCTTCGGAGTAGGTGGAACAACCCCCACCTCAACTGAGCTAACGCCACCATCTGTTGCTATTGGCTTCGGTCTTGGCGGAGCTATACCTTCACCAACCATCTTCGGTCTTGGTGGGATCACTCTGGCTGATGCGACTCTACCATGTGTTACCATCTTCGGCGTCGATGGAGCTAATCTGACCACGGTAGCTTCGGCAGGCCCACGCCCAACTGCGCTACTCATTGCAGACCTGGTCCTTTTCCAAGGCGGCTCTCCTGCAGTGCAAATTGTCTCACTGCTGATCACCGCTGCATAGCGGACACACCGCTGCATGCCCATATATATATCACGAATATATCACGACTAACGGACTCGCTGCTACGGTAACCATTGTGAATCTTCAAGCAAGAGAGATATACAAAAATACATCAAGAGTATGAAGCTCTT